GCCCTTGACCGGAATCGAACCTGGGACCCTTCAGTCTGCAGACCTATGCTCTACGCTGAGCCAAACCGGTTTCGGCTGAGGGCTGATCTTAAGTCTTGGAGAGCAGGGGCCATCCATTCAGGAAACTTTTTCTGAACTTACCTCCAGGGACAGGAAGAGGACTCCGGCAGGACCTCCCTTCAGGAGCGCCGGGCCTGGCGACCTTTCTGGCAGCCGTCCCAAGGCTGTGGCTTTGAGCAGTGGCAGGGCGATCAGGGCAGTCTCTCCAGAGGAGGTGACTGGGGCGAGCGGTGTTTGAAAAAGGAGGAGTTGGGCAGGTGGCGTCAGGATGGCTGAGACGTTTCGGGTGGAGGAAGAGGGAGAGAGTGTGGTGTTTGGGGAGGACCTGCCTGATGTTGTGATTGCTGGCTGTGGAATGGGGCAGCCTGGGTTGACGTTTCAGTGTGGACACCTCTTAGCGGTGGGAACTTGAGTCTCTGTTTCTCTAAAGTGAGGATAATAAGAATAGAAATCTCTTCAATTATTGCTAGAAAAATCATAGACAATGTCCATCAAATGCTCACGGCAGTGCTCGCCCAAAAGTGCTCAGTAAGTGTCAGCTCTGAACACACGCAGGAGAGGCCGGAGAGAGATGGGGCTGGAGGGCCGCAGGGAGCTGGCCTGGGAGCTGCCTGCCTAAAGGGCAGGGGCACAGAGTTCAGACAGTGGGTCCCTGGTCCTGGAAGGTGCCAGGACAGAGGATGGAGCTGGTAAGACAGCTTTGGGCCACGGGTGCTGACCGCCTCCCCTCCCGCCTGGCTCACAGGCCTGGCTCCTGCTGGAATGCCATCACAGCTCGCTCCACAGCCTGTCCGTGTCCGGGCGGGCGAGGACCTCCCCTCTCCCTGGCCCTTGCCGGATGCTCTGATGACCTAGTTGGCAGTCATGGCCGAGTCTGGCCAAAAACAGGAATTTCTGCCTCACGGGGGGTCTTGACCAGGTGAGCAAACACTCCTGTTTGCCAGGAAAAGGGGTCAGGAGCCTGATGGGCTCCTGGCTAAATGGGAGGCCCATAAAGCCTTGGGCTGAGCTCAGCCCCTGCTACTGCCTTCCCTGAGCCTTCATTGACCACCTACTGCGTGCCAGGGTGTTGATTCACATGCTCTCACTGCCCAGCCCCATCCATGAAGTAGGCATGTAAACTTATTCTTTGGTGATAGGTACTGGGAGCAGAGTTGGGAGGTAAGAGGCCAGAGAAGAAGCTGGTTTGGAGAAATCTCCAGGATGTTGGTGCGTGTGTGTGTGTGTGTGTGTGTGTGTGTGTGTGTGTGGAGGGGCGGGTGGGGCGGAGGTTAGAGCATCATTAAGCTGGAACTTGGGGCAGGGGAGGCCGGCATCTGCAAAGCGGCAGCATCTGGGTGTCAGGGGAAGTGGGGGCCACAGGACAAGCACAGGGGCTGAAAAGTGTGAGTGGGAACCACTCCGTACTTTCTAGACTGCCTCAGAGCCCTTTGCCGGCCCCCTAACCATGTAAGGTGCTCTCACCTCCTCTCCCAGACCTCCCTGCCCCACCCTGACCCTCCAGCTCCCTTCCAGAGCCCAGGAGAGCTCTTTGTCGGGGCCCACCTGGCTCCTCCTCCAAGACCAGCCCAAACTGCAGCCCGGCGGCTCACTCTCGTTCTCCAGCCGTGGGGCGACCTTCGGTTCTCCAGCTGGGAGGCGTCTGGGTGTCAGGGTGTCAGAGCTGCACGCTCAGAAGGGGCAGAGACAGAGACGTGGCAGGGTCAGAGCTCTGGGACAGCTCTGGCAGGGAGGGCGATGACATGCCCGAGGGAAGAGGGCTTGGGTCGGGAGAGCTTGTGGTTATGGTTCAGATGACTCCAGGCAGATGCGCCTGAAAACACGTGGCCTGAGAGGAAGGTGAGAACCGGGTAAGTACAGCATCCTAGATGCTGGGGGAGTGTGCCAAGGGAGGGCATGGGTGATGGGAGGGTAGGGGTGGGAGCCCCTGCAGCGGAGAGGTCAAGGGATACGAACTGAAAAGTGCACTGAGTTTGGCAAACTCTTGGTGACCTTAGCCAGGGCAGTGTGGGGCTCTGAGGAGCTGAAGGCAGCCTGGGTGGGTTGAAAATGGGGGGAAAAGAAGCCACTTTACTAAGAAGTTTACCCATGAAGTAGGAGAAGACAGGGGAAAGTTGGTTTAAGGATCTTTTTGCTATTTTTATTTTTTTAATCATCACCCAAGGATATGTTCCCCATTGAGTTTTAGAGAGAAGGGAAAGGAGGGAGGGGGGGGGGAGGTGGATAGAGAGGGAAACATCAACATGAGACAGACACATCGACCGGTTGCCTCCCACCTGCGCCCCTACTGGAGCTGGGCAACTTGCAACCAAGGTAGGTGCCCTTGACTGTAAATCGAATCCGGTATACAGCCCGACACTAACCACTGAGCAACTGGCCTGGGCTCTTTTCACTGTGTTTAAAAATGAGCACCACTTGAGCTTAGCTGGTCTGAGAGGAAGAAGCAACCAGAGAGGAAGGGCTGAGGAGAGAGGGAAGTGAGGGAGCAAATGAGAGAGGAGAGAGGAGGACCCCAAGGTGGGGCAGAGGGGATGTGCTCAGAGAAAAGGCCTCAGAGAGCCCAACTGCTGACAGCCGCCATCTCCTCGGCGGTGGGGGAGCAGGCTTTGTTGAACATGAAGGGACATGATGCAGCTGAGGCCCCGAGGTCCTGGGGGGTGAGGACCAGAGCCTCAGCATTCCACCTGCAGGTCCCATCTCCCAGGGGTGCGCCATGAGGGTCCAGAAACCACAACGGGAGTAGAGGAGGGCAGGGTTGGAACGGGTGCAATGGTGCCGAGAATGGAGCTGAAGCAAGGAGGAGGCAGGCAGGCCGCACAGTGTCTCCAACATCATTTTTTAATACATTCATGTGGTTATACAAAGAGCTAGTCCCGGGGCCTGGGCTGCGGCCTGGCCCCTGGGAGGTGAGAGCAGCATTGTGTAGTGTTTTCAAAGACCAGGCGTGGAGGGGCCCACACATGCCCCAAGCCTGAGAAAGAGTGTGTGTGCTGTGAGCACCTCTAGTCACAATTCCAACCAGGACTGGGCCCCTGGGCTGCCCCCCAGACCCCCAGACCCCCAGATGGGGCCAGGACATCAAGTTCCAGCCCTGGCTTTGCCATTGACTTCCTGAGTCCTCGATCCCTCTCTGGGCCTCAGTTTTTCCATCTGTAGAATGGGGCAGAGAGTGGAGTGTTCATTGTCTCACACTTCACCCAGCACCATCCTGAGCCAGACCCCAGCCAAGCACAGGTGGGAGGGGAAGACAACAGCACAGGGGCCTGGGCTGGTCCCAGGACAGCCCATGGTTCCATGGGCAGGAGGGACAAGGGGTTAGATCTGGATTTTTTTTTTTTTTAACCCACTTTTCTAAGAGGGGAGGATCCCTGTAGGAGGAGGACCCAAAAAAGCGGCTGGAGCATTATCTTGTGATGTGACACCTGAGAGAGCAGAAAACCACTCAGGTCCAATCTCCCCAATCCACCTCCTGACACCCGTAATGGGGTCTGAATCCACCTTTTTTCCACAGGCTCTGCCACTGACTTGTGCATCTCTGAGCAAGTTCCTTTCTCTTCCTAAGCCTCAGTTTCCCCATCTGTGTAAGGGGGAGGTAGGACTCCATGGTCTCACATTCTAGGCTGTGCTCTTTGGAAAATGGGGAATGCAAGAGCAAGAGGAGAAAAAGAACCCGCACCAATCTGCAAAGGAGGGAGGGGAAACTGAGGCAGAGGAAGAGAGGGCCCATGGACGCCTGTCTTCTCTCTGCCTGCCTGGGAGAGTAGAGGGAGAGGGGCTGGTGGGATGTACAGTGCAGGATGCTCCCAGGCCCTGTGCCAGCAACGGGGGCCACTTCCTGTCCCCCTGACAGCCAGCCAGCAGCTCCACAGCGGCAAAGCTCAGTCCCCCGAGTCAGGATGATGTGGTTCTGAATCTCAGTGCCGCATTTTGTAGCCGGGATACCCTGCAGGGAGGCTTGGAGCCTCTTTTATAAACTGGGATTAAATACCAGCCTCAGAAGGTTGTCATCAAGAGGCAGGCACAGGCTTGGGTTTGCCACAGCTGCCAAGCCTGGGGCCAAACAGAATCAGAGACCTCAGGCCTTCCCTCCTGGCATGGAGCGGGGAGTGGAGGAGGCCACGGCGGTATTTGGGCCAGTGTGCAACCCCAGAGAGCCAGGTGGGGCAAAGAGTCTGTCCAGAGCAGGAAATGACGGTCCAGGGCTGGCTAGAGCCCAGGGCAGCAGCCTGGGAACCGGACCTGCTGCAGCCGCCACAGTCTGCCTGGAGTGCTGGGCCCCAAGCACGCGCATGTGGCTCCGGTTCTCTTCCCGTTACACGCTCGTCATGTTCCGGAGAAGCTGCGAGTCATTATCAGAAGATGTGACAAACAGTCTGCTTGGAAAGGCCTCAGACAAATCCTCCCGGTCTTTCCCTTCCCCGGCCCTGGCCTGGCGGGGCAGGACTCCCCCACTTCCCAGCCGCCCTCCCTCCCTCTCCAGCACTCCGCTCGGCGGCGCTGGTGAGCTTTGGAGCCCTGGGCTCCACACTGTGTGGTCCCTGCACAGCGCTGGGATGCCATCCCCACCCCGACGGGGAGATGCTTGCCGTGTCTCCTTCACCAGTGTCCTCCGTGCCCAGCGCAGGGTGTGGCACAAAACAGGTGTCGGGTGAAGATTTGTTGATCTGATGGGTCATCCTCTTTCTTCGTCACTCCCGATTCAGCTCGGCGTCCAGCGTCCGCAGCTGGACCACATGTGAGGCCTGGGAAGTGCGTCACCTACCGATGTGGCAGGAGGCGGGGACAGGAAGGCCGGGCTGGGGTTCAGAGACCAGGGTTCTGGGACCCCCGCTCACGTGTGGCCTTGGTTTGGACCTCGCCCTCCTCTGTGCCTCAGGCTCCCCCCCCCCCCCCCGTCCTGGGCGGGGCTCCCCGCTGAGCTCTCCTACAGCCCGGCCGCTCTAGGCTTTGTACTGCTGGTTGAACTTCTGCTGGCGGACGCAGCAGCAGGTGGCCAGCATGGCGAGGGCGACGGCAGAGACGAGCGTGAAGGTGAGGATGATGATGAGGTTGACGTTCTTGAGCCCCCCCTTCTCACAGTCCTCAGGGCGCACGTGGCTGAGGAACACCTCCTCCTGGGAGTCGAAGCGGCAGATCAGGTCCCGGGTGGCGTCCACGTCCACGCGGCCCTGGTGCAGCTGGGCCGCCAGCCAGCCGTTGCCGCAGCAGCTGAGCGGGTTGCCCTGCAGGTAGAGGCGCCGCAGGCTGGGCTCCAGGCCGCCCATGGCGCTGCTGGGCAGCAGGCTGAAGCTGTTGTTCCTCAGGTCCAGCACCTCCAGAGACACGGCCTGCGTCCAGGCCGGCAGGCGGCTCAGGCGGTTCTCGGCGAGGTTGAGCTGCTTGAGGCAGCTGAAGCAGGGCAGGTCCACCTGCAGGACCTCCAGCCCATTGCCCTGCAGGGCCAGCGCCTCCAGGGAGGCCTCCAGGCCCGCCAGGGCCCCCGTGGCCACATTCAGGCCCGGGTTGGAAGAGAGGTCCAGCTCCGTGAGTGGCGTGTGGAGGAAGGCACCCGCCCCGAGCGTCTCCAGCTCGTTGTCCACTAAGTTTAGGCTGCGGAGGGAGGAGATGCCAGAGAAGTCCACGCAACCGGAGGGTCCGGGCCCGCCCAGCCCCCCACACGGAACGACCCGATTCCCCTGCAGGTTGAGCCTCTGCAAGCTCGCCAGGCCGGCAAAGGTGTGCGGGGGCAGGCCCCGCAGGGCGTTGTGCTGCAGGAGCAGCGTCCGCAGAGACCCCAGGGCCCCGGCGCCCAGCTCCAGCGTGTCCAGCGCGTTGTGGCTGACGTCCAGGAGCACCAGGCAGGGCAGCGAGCCTGCCCGCGGAGCCTCGAAGGCCTGCAAGCAGTTCCGGCTGAGGTTCAGGAAGCGCAGGGAGGTCAGGTGCTCGAGAAAACCCTCGGGGACAAGCTCGATCTCGTTGTAGCTCAGATCCAGGTTCAAGAGCTGGGAGAGGGGGTGGGCGCTGGCGTTCCGGCGGTGGCCGGGGGGGCTCGAGAGGGGCGAGGCCGACCAGCCCTCGGAAGGGGCCTGGGTGACCTTGCCCCCCGGGGGTGGCCCCGCGGGGAGGCTGATGAGGTTGTTGGACACGTTCAGGTAGATGAGCCCCGGGAGCGCGGCCAGGTCGGGGAAGCGGAGCAGCTTGTTCTCCCGCAGGTCCAGCCAGGTGAGCTGGTAGCCGGCCTGCGGCTCGGGGGCCATCTGGAAGGCCTCGATGCTGTTGCAGCTGAGGTCCAGCACCCGCAGCTGCGGGAGGCTGAAGTCGGAGATGCAGGTGAGGGAGTTCCGGGAGAGGTTGAGGTGGGTCAGGCGGGGCAGGGCCTCGAAGGCGCCGTCCTCGATGTCCATGAGCACGTTGCTGTGCAGGTCCAGCCGCTCCAGGGCGGGGGTGCCCCCGAAGGTCTGGCGGGCGAGGCGGGTCAGGCTATTCTCCGCCAGGGCCAGAGTGCGCAGGGCGGGCGCCTCCCCCAGCAGCGGCTCCAGCAGGCCGCTGTACAGGCTGTTCCCGGACAGGTCCAGCCACCTCAGGTGCGGCAGGCGACCCAGGCCCCCGGCGCTCAGCGCCAGGCGGTTGTGGGCCAGGTTGAGGTGCTCCAGGTGGGACAGGGCCTGGAAGACGCCCGGCTGGAGGAAGCTGATCTCGTTGGCGCTCAGGTCTAGGTGGCGGAGCGCTGCGTAGAGGCCGAGGGGCGAGGCCAGGATGCTCTGAAGCTGGTTTCCAGACAGGTCAAGGGCCTCCGTGTCCCATGGGAGCCCCGAGGGGACCTGCACCAGGCCGCGGCACTGGCAGGAGACCTCCTTGTTCACCTGTGGGGGTGGGGGGTGGGGAGAGTAGAGAGGGGAGCAGGCATTAGTGAGTGCAGTAGGAGCTGGAATCAAACACGTGCCTCTGGGAAGGATGACATGAGCTCCCACGAGGCTTGGCTGGGCTTCTTTCTTGACCTCCCGGGATGCTCCATGTTCCTCTATCCCAACCTAATCACCCCATGTCTGGATGACCCCATCCTGCTCCCTGCCCCTGCCTCTGGCACCCAGTACAGCACTGGCATCAGGGAGGGACTTGAGGAAGCTTTGGTGGCTGGACAGAGAGGTGATAGAAAGTTAGAAGGACAAATGACGAGACAAAAAAAAACCCCTGTACTAATCACGAACCCATTTTGCAGGAAACTGAGCCACAGATCATCCAGAGCAGTGGTCAGCAAACTCATTAGTCAACAGAGCGGCAAACCGCGGCTCACAAGCAGCATGTGGCTCGAGAGCCGCAGTCTGCTGACTACTGATCTAAAGCAAGCATGTCAAGCTCACGTCTGGCAGGCTGCAAACCTTGTTTAAATAAACGAGGCATGCGGCCCACAGCCGCGAGTTTGACATGCTTGATCTAGAGTGACCCGGGGCCGCGAGGAACAGAGCCAAGCTGGGGCCCAGGCCTCCTGGTTCCACCCCCGGCTTCCTTCTGTGGGCCCGGGTCGTTACGTTGACCCAGTCGGTATTAGACTGGATTAACCCGCTTTGGGGGAGTTGTTCCCAAAAGAAAAAAAAAATGCAGTTTGCCTGCTTGTCATCCGCTTTTAGCTTCCTGCCCTCCGATCTCATTCAAGCCCTCTTCCTGTGGGGCACAGCGCTGGGTCCCAGAGCCTGCCTCCTCGGGGGACACTCCCCAGGAGCACCCTTTCTGCTGCTGCTACCCACCCCCACCCCGTCAGTGGCTCTGCTTCCCATGCCCGGTCCCGATCCGGTCCCGGAGATGGGGTGAGGGTAAGCGGCACGGGGAAAGATGTCCAGGGTCCCCACCCACGTCCTGGGATGACAGCACCAAGGTCGTGGGTGGGGACCCTGCCCCATCAAGTGTGTTGTGTGCCCCATCAAGTCATATGACCACTCTGGTTACTTAACCAGAAAGTAACTCATGCTCCCCTAGCACCCACTCGGCATCTTGGGTTTTTTGGCATTTTCAGACCCCCAGTCTTGCTGGGTCCCAGAGCCTAGCCTGCCTGTCAGTAGGATGGCCCCTATTTAGGAAAACCAAGCCCAGAGAGGGGAAGAAAGGTTTCAGGATCACCCAGCTGCTGATATTTTAACATCTAAAGGCCTCACTTTGGTCCTTCTGTCTCATGTGCTTTCTGAGGCCAGAAGTCTTTCCATGCAAATGCAGTCTTCCTCTTGTTTTTCCAAGCACACCAGGAAGCCCAGCCTTTCTCAGCTGGTCTGACTGCTACCCCGGCCCAGCTCAGGCCCACTCCTGCCCCGGCTTCTGTCTTCACGGACCCTTCTGATCCACCCACCAACCACATGCCTGGCAATTGCTCTCAGATTCCACTCAGACAGTGTCATCTGTTTCCAGTAAACCCCTCCAGGGCAAACGCCGGGACTCTCAGCAGGTTCAAGGCTGTCTGTGGCCCCCGAGGCACTGTCCCCTCTCCTCCCAACCCACTCCAGCCCAGCCCACAGTGACCGCATCTGACCACTGACCATTGTGCCCTCCAGGCCCCAGCTCTGGGCCTCCTCCTTCCCGTTCCCTGTGCTGACTATGTCCTTCCCAACAAAGTCTGCACGGGGAACTCTGCATGCTGAGCCCAGGGTCTCCTCTGCCAGGAAGCCTTCCGATTCCCGACCAGGTTGGGGCCCCCTTTGGGTTTTCTTACGGCTTTTGTGCTTCCTGTCATAGCTTTGGCCCCTGAGCTGTGCCTATCTGTGTGGGGACCTGCCAGACAGTGAACTCAGAGCAAACAGGGCCTGTTTTGATTAATGTGGATGCCTTGGGCTTGGCTCAGAAGGTGCTCACTAAATTTTTTTTAATGAATGAACGAGCCGTAGACATCATTGGTTTAGTAAAGGTCTGAGGGATTGACTCAATCTCCTTTCTAAAAAGAAAGAAAAGGGATGATCCATATATTCAGACTAAAGTCAAAGACTGTTAGAGCATAAAGGGTCCAGCCCACCCAATTCCAGGATGGGGAGACTGAGCTTGAAGATGGCAGGGACCCTCACGAGGTCGCGGTGAGTCAGTAGCTAAGCCAGCAGGGCCGGAACACCAGCCCCCGGGGCTCCCTGCCTGGCCCAGCTGTCAGCTTCCTCTCAAGATCCCCAAGGTGAGGAGGGGGAGGAATGGACTGCCCTCCAACAGGCCCCTGTGTGCCTCTTCCTACTCCATGCAGCACAGTCACCGGCCTGCACAGCGGCCCAGGGATGAACCAGAAACCATCCTGGCCACCAGGCCAGTCTTGCCTGGCTCCTTGCCCTTTTCTCCCTTCCTACCTCTTGGCCTGCTGGGGCCACCAGGCATGGCCCCTCATCTTGTCCTCAGCTCCTGGACCGTCCACCCTTATTAAGGAAGTCTCAGCAAAAGGAACATTAACACAATGACTGCCACTAACCACGGAGCGCCAGCTGTGTGGCAGGCTTGTACTGGATGCACAGATCCCGTGCCTCGTTCCATCTCCTAAGGCAGTGGTTCTCAACCTTCCTAACGCTGCGACCCTTTCATACTGTTCCTCATGTTGTGGTGACCCTCCAACCATACAATTATTTTTGTTGCTACTTCATAACTGTAAGTTTGCTACTGACATGAATCATAATATAAATAGCAGATATGCAGGATGTCTTAAGCGAACCCTGTGAAAGGGTTGTACGACCCCCAAAGGGGTCCGGACCCACAGGTTGAGAACAGCCGTTTAGGCATATTTACCTCATTGTACCCTCTGAGGAAACTGAGGCTCGGAGGAGGGAGGTGGCTTCCCCGAATCATACAGTCAGAGGCTCAAAACTACCACTGGGAGTTCCTTTTCCTACTGCCAGCCACGTTTGGCCACGGCGCCCTCAGCTGAGCAAGTACCCAGGTTGAGTCCTTCAGCAGAGTAAACACTAGGAACACCAGTTACCACTGCCTGAGCATTTACCATGTGGGGGGCACTGTCCTATGCATCACATGTTATCCTACAGGCAAGCCCACACCCCATTCCACCTCTGAATTCTCAAAGGCTCCCGGGGCCACCAGCCCCTGAGAGTAAGTCAGGACACAGGTTGGCCAAGCCCAGAGCCTAAGGCTTGCTTTCTGCCAGGGTGCCCAGGCCCCCTGCCAGAGGCCCAGAGGCGGAGCCTGCAGGCAGTGCTGCACCACCGCCCCGCTCTGCAGTGCAGTCGGAAGGAGCTAGAAGGCCAGTGCCGCTCTCAGCACTCCACCTCAGGGCGCCTCCTACCGCCTGAGCTCTGAGCCCTCAGCACCACTGACTTGCTTGGGGAAGGGTCTTGGAGGAGTCAGCCCTGAGCCAAATTCGGAGCTGCCCTTGGCAACACTCTACCCGCTCTCTCTGGGATGTTTTGTTTTTTAGGAGGGAAGAGGACTTGCCACCCAACTCCATTTTACCACCTGCACAGAGAGGGAAGCAGGGCAGCAAGAGTACTCTCGCAGTGGGCAGCATAAGCCCGGGAGCTGGGTTCGAATGCTGCTCTACTGCTTCCTGTCTGCTAACCCTGGTAGCCACAGCTCTTCTCTCAGCCTTGGTTTCCTCTGCAGAAAGAGGAATCTGAGCAGCAGAAAGGGAAAGTTCTTAGCATGCAGCAGGCAATCCTGCGAGCCCTTGGCATGTGAAAAAGATTTTTTACCTTAAAAATCATCATGACTCCTTCTGTGGCAGTCCAGAAAGCACCTTTCTGCCTATTATCTCATTCTCCCCAATCTAAAGCTCACCCAGTTCTGCTTCCTGCTAGGTGGCCAGGGCCTTCCCTTCTCCGAGCCTGTCTCCTTGGCAGAATGTGGGGCTGCGTTTGGTGGCATTGAGGCCTCCCCTTCCTGTGATTCCGGGTTCTGGGAAGGGTTCTCAGAAGGGCTCTAAAGAGCAAGAGGTAAGGCGACCACCCCAGGGCACTGCAGCCCCAGGGAAGGGCTGCCCGGCCTGGCTGCCAGCGCCTGTGGCCTCCAGGAGCAGGTGGCCATTCTGTGTCATAAGCTTCAGTCCAAGGTCTAAGTGGGCTACCACAGGGCCTGTCCCTTCCCCAGGGCAAGCTCCTGCCTTGCGCTCAGTGACTGCCCAGTTTTACAAGCGGTCCTTTCCCTGCACCCCACAGGGTGACAGTAACTTCAGGGCTAGTCTCCCGGCAAGGGGCGGGAAAATGGAACAAAGTGAATCAAACAGGGCCCCTGCCCTCGGGAAGTTCTGGGTCTGGCGGGGAGACAAGCCTGGACCCACTTTCAAACTATACTATGTGCTCACTATTGAGATGGAGGGAAGCTTGGGGCTGGGGAAGACCAGGGAAAGAAGCACACAGGACCATGTCAGCCTGGGGGGAATCGGAAGAGGCTTCCTGAAGGGGCAGCATTTGACCCGGGCAGTGATGAGTGAGGCTTCCCAGCAGGGATGTGGCCAATGGGACCACGTCAAGGAGCCCAGGACTCAAAACAGAAGAGCCCTTCCCAGCTGACTGACCCCAAATTCTGTATCACCCTGTGGTGGCAGAGGGAATGGCGTCCAATATTGGCCCCAGTGGTCCCAGGTGAATGACCTTGGACAAGTCACTTAACCTCTCCAAGCCTTAGCTCCCAATTCTGTAAAATGGGAACGGTGGTACTTACCTGGCAGGATTAATGGTAAAGAAGGTATTTAAACATTCTAGCAGATGCTAATCAAATGCAAGGTTTAAATTAGCATTCCTTTTCCTTTTCTGACTCCTCTGGTTTTGGCTTCTGGAGCTGGGACGTTAGAACCCCGTAGGGCTGGGTGGGATGAGGGTGGGGGTGCTCACCCTGCCAGGGCAGGGCTTCTTACCATCTTACAGGGCACCTTGTCTCCCTGCTGGGAGGTAGCCAGGCCCAGGGTCAGCACGGCCAGGAGCAGCAGGACCTGGTGGCTCATGGCTCTGCATGGGGCAGGGAGGAAAGGGGACATTGTAAAACCCAGGCTCCTTCCCACGGCCAGCCCGCACCCTCCCGCCCTGCCCTCTGGGAACCCCAGACCATGCTGTATCTGGCGTTAAGGTGTAGCCCATCACAGAGGGCCTCCAATGCTATGCCAAGGCGAGAGGCCATGCCCTGGAAAGAGTGTTTAAACAGTGGTCGACATGGTCAGATTTGGGTTTCAAAAGACTCCACCTGGTGGAAGACAATCTGGAGGAGGCAGCAGGAGGCAGAGGGACCCTAGGGGCTGCCCTGGGCCAACCTCCGGGCTGGGGGGAGGGGAGGTGGGGGGCTGGGCTCCTGACTCTCTTTCTACCCAAGCCACAAGCAGGTCACCCCTTCGTAGCTCCTCAGACCCCAAATGGAATTACACACACACACACACACACACACACACACACACACACACACACACACGGACCTTTATTTTGCTCTTTTCCTTTTGATTTTCTGATTCTTGAGTCCCTGCCATTGTTTGATGGCTGGGCCTGGAGTCCTGACAGGAAACCCCACCGGAGGCTTGCCCCGGCCCGGCATTGTGGCTGTGAACTCCCCCAGGAGCAGGCTGCCAGGCCCTTTACTTTCACTGAAGCCACCACCGTGCCAGGGCAGGGGGACACACAGGCCTGTTAGACCTGCCCTGCCCTGTATGAGCAGCCAGGGTGCCCTCAGCAGGGTGGAATCTCAGTGCTTCTAGGAGCTCACTCACTGGCGACCTGGGTCAGGGGCTAGGAATACACAGCTCAATCTATCCATTTCATTCATTCATTCATTCATTCACTCACTCACACTTTTATTTAATGCCTCCTCACATCTAGCTCTGTGCTAGGAACTGGGGACACAAATAAATGCACAGAAGTGGCCGTAATACATACAGAGCATTAAGAAGCAGGAGTACATAAAATCCTCTAAGAGCACTGGACTCAGAGTCACCTATATCCAACTGTTCTCTCTGATTCCTCCACTAACCTGCTGTGTCACCTTGTGCAGATCATTTCATCTCTCTGAGGCTCAGTTTCCTTTTCTGGGGTTAATGCTGACTTCATCAAGTTTTCTTAAAGATCGAATGATACATATATTCTACTTAGTGAGCCCTTAGTATGCACACTTCTCCACACTTCACATGTATTAACTCATTTATTTATTTATTTATTTTTTAAACTGTTGTCTTTTTTTTTTTTTTTTTTTTTTTTTTGATTTTGTACAGAGAGGAAGGGAGAGAGACAGAGAGTTAGAAACATCGATGAGAGAGAGTCATCGACCAGCTGCCTCTTGCACACCCCCTACTGGGGATATGCCCGCAACCAAAGTACATGCCCTTGACCGGAATCGAACCCGGGACCCTTCAGTCCCCAAGCCGACGCTCTATCCATTGAGCCAAACCGGTCTCGGCTGTATTAACTCATTTAATCCTCACCATCACTCAATGACTTGGCTCTGTGATTAGCGGTCCTATTTTACAGACAGGAAAACTGAGGCCCAGAGAGATTAAGGAAGATTCAAGGTCTCACAGATAACAAGTCTGGCTCCTAGGTCTGTTCTCTTAACCTCTACACTATGTGGTCTCCAAAAAGACCTCAATAAATGGGCGCTGAGTTGTAGACTCTGAAGATGCTTTAGGATAAGATGTATTTATAGGATCTTTGAGGGCTGGGTCTTTACTATTAAACCCATTGGCTGTCCTTACAATGAATTTTAAATGAAGGTGGCTGTCCTGAGTTCCTTTATTGTTCAAATGTGGTCTTTTAAACCCTGTTCCCTGGGTTCCCCTAGGCCATGGGCCTCTGCCCCCACAAATGCTCGTTCTTCTCACCTGCATCATGGGCCAGGCTTTTACAGGAAATTTTGTTCTGCTGTTTAAAAAGCAGAACATCACCAAAAGCTGTAAACGCAGAATTGAGTGGAACCCCTCAGGGGGCCTCTGAGGCCCTTGGGGAATGTGCCTTGCGGCCAGCTCTTCTCTCCAACCTCATTTCTCACCCTCCCTTCTCCCATTCTGTGTTCTGGAAACCTCCTATTTCCTTCAAGCCTCAGAGCCCCTTTCACTGCTCCAACCCTTCCCTCCCTCCTCTCTTGTGCTGAATACCTCCTCATCCTTTGGGTCTCAGCTTAGATGTCACCTTCTCCAAGGAGCCTTCTCTGGGTTCCCGAGTCTGGGCTATGTGATTGGCTCTGCCTCCGGGTTCCCACAGCCCCTGAGCTTCCAGTGAGCACAGCACTGGGCACTCTAGGATTGCCCCTCCCACACATTCCTAAGGGAAGTGCCCCTGGGGCAGAGGGGGCCACAGGCCAGGCCAGGGAAGGCACTGAGAGCAGAGTCTCGGCGACACAGGAGTCTCGGCGACAGGGCCACACTGGGGAGAGCAGTTGCTCTCCTTGACTCTCCCTTCACCTCCCTGACACACACCTTCTCCTTGTCAGGATGAGAATTCGGTCTGTTCTCTGAGGAAACCCCCAGAGCTGCCCATCTCCCTCCTCCATCATTACCACAGAGTCACCACCATGACCCCGGGCCCCCACCACAGCAACAGCTTACGTCCACCCCGACCCCTTTCAGTCTGTCCTTCACACAGTGGCCGGAGAGGTGTCCTTAAACCATAGATCAGATCGTGAATCTCGCTGCCTGAAAACCTGCAGTATAATCCAGGCTTGATCCCCCTCCTCTCTGACTCCACCTACCATTTGCCCTTCCCTCAGCAAATCCTAGTGTTTGCCACTCTTCTCACCATTCCTCAGCCATTCCTACCCCAGGGCCTTTGCAGCTCCCTCCGCCCGGAAGGCTCTTCCCCAGCCCCTCCCATGGTTTACTGCTTTCATCACGTTGATCACTTCCTGATCATTAATGTTTTATTCTATGAGGACAGGAGTCTATCAAAGGGTGCTCACCAGCGATCGATTGAACAAATGGCAGAGGGAGGGGCGGGACTCTACTGAAACGGGCTGAGGGGTAAGTGTGAGGTGAGGACAAGGCAGGGTCTGGCGTAGGGCAGAACTGGAAGGCACTGCAGCCAAAGGGGCCCTCCTTTCCCCCTCCTCTGCCTGCCAAATCTCAGCCTGCCCCCAAGGGGGGCATCAGGGCATCCAGCATGGACAACCCCTGTACCAGCGGAACTCGGGCCTGGCATCTGACAGAAGGGGGCCCCTCAGCAGTGGGCATCCATCAGCAGTGCCCAGAACAAGGGGCACTGCTGATGGATGTGTAGAATTTGAGGGCAACTCACTCTCACGAGGGAAAGCTGGGGTCACTTAGACCCAGATTGACATCTAGATGACTGCTCCCCAGCCCGTTCTGGGGCAAGCCCCTTAACCCTCCAGGGCCTCAGTGCCCCATCAGTAGGGCAAGTAGCCTGGTTCCCATTCTACCGCTGGCCTCTCCCGCTAATGTGATGAGCAAGCTGATACTGCCTGTGATCATGTCCTGGACAGATTGTCTTTTTAGCTGGGACAATGACCGGCAGAGCTAAACAGCTTAGGCGAGGTATGCTGAGAATGGAGACCGCAAGCTCGTAGACTTAGAAGCCAAGGCAAAAGATATCTTAGGATTCTGACCAGGAGGAGAAATGTTAAAGAATGTGAGTGTGTGTGTGTGGGGGGGGAGGGGAATGAGGTGGGACAATGCCTACTATCATAAATAAGCCCATCCTTACCATTTAAGGATGCTAGACATTCTCCTAAGTACCCGACCTATATTATCTCACTTAATTCTCACAACAAACCAGTAGTTACTGTAATTTTCCATTTTACAGATGAGAAAAACTGAGGCTCAGAAAGATGAAATGATTTACCCAACAGGTTACCCAGCTCAGGAGTATGTTGGGATTCATCCCAGGTCTGCATGACCCGAATGCTGTTTTCTCTCCAGCAGGTGCTGAACTGCCTGGCCCCTTTCTAACTGTCCCCAATTTGCCTATGAGGAAAACGCAGCTCAGAGAGGGGACTGACCCAAAGTCACACAGTCAGTTAACAGAGTCAGGATGAGAATCCAATCTGTCTGCTTCCAAAGTGAATGATCCACTGCACCAGGCTAAGATCTCCTCTCTAACCCCCTCTAACGACAGCTTCCCCCCAACATCCATAAGGGCACAGGCTCACAGGGCTGGTCCCAGCGACTCCCCCTCCTCTGCTCATCAGGGACCACTGGCAGAGTGGGGTCCCGAGAAGGCGGCTGTGAGAGCCCCTAAACCAGCAGTGAATCATTAAGGGCAGACATGTGCATCCCACGGAGGAATTAGACCTTACCCCAAAGGAATGCGGCTGTGATGACGGAATTTCAGGCAGCTCAGGGTGGGGGTAGGGGTCCCTCACATCTTACCACCCATGAAGACGGCTGTGCCAGGGACCCCTAGAAGAGAGGTGAGGGTCCCCCTTAGCCCCTCACCTCAGGTAGGCAGGCTATCTGGTGCGGTGGGATGGGAAGCCCCACGCCCAGCCCAGAGCAGAGGATCGTAGGAGCTCTGGATGGATTCAAATCCTAGTCTGCCCTTCACTAACGGTTCCGTTCCCGCCAAGGGCTGTCAAATGGGCACAGGTCTCACTTTTTTGCGGGGAAAGATCTGTTGAGTTAGCAGCCTGGGAGACCTCCCAGGAGGGTCAACCCTGGCTCCACGTGTGAGGTGGAGGACGGGGGCGGGAGGAGGACCCAGCCCGGCCCCAGGTCCTCTGCTCCGGAGAGGCGCGGGGCAGGCGGTTCCCCCGAGGGCGGGCCGGCCACCCCCCAGCCCCGTTCGCTCCTACCTGGCTCAGCGCGGCCGCCGCTCCTTGCCCGCGCAGCCCCGGCACATTTTGCGCGAACCCGCTCCCCGGTCCCACCCCGCGCCAGACCCCGGGGTCGCGGCCCGAGGAGGCGCCCGGCAGATCCTCCGCCCCGCGGGAGCCGAACCCGCGAGGGGCCGGCTCGGGCTCCCATTTAAATACCTCTCCCGCCCCACCACGCCTCCCTTCGGGCCGGCCGCGGGGTCC